CATCCTTGGATTCAGTGCTGCAAATTGTTGCTTCTTTTTGGCTGTGTTTTGGGGGCCTGTACGGACTGTTCTTGAGACTTTTTTTTCACCTTTGACAGTGGGGTCTTCTCTATTGCCCACACTGTGTTTGTAAAAAGGCCTCTTCATCAATACGGACTGGTATTTACTCTTCTTGGCTATTTTTTGGTGATTACCTTGAAGTCCCTGATTAGAAAAGGAACTTTGATTGAGTGCACAGTGCTTAGAAGTTTTCTGATTACTTCTTGAAGGCCAAACCAAGGTTCTACTTTAGTCTTGGTTCTTGCAACTTCCGGGTGTAGTTTGGCCTTGTGTATTGCTGTCTTGAGGTTAGTTGAACTCAGTCCTTGCTCATCCTCATTCGGTACACTTGTAGAAGTCATCTGAAATCATATTTGAAGTGTTTACAYGATGAACTCCTCAGAATTTGAAAACAAGATTGGTGCTGAATATGGACTGGTTCAGGGGACTCCAGGTGATTCTTTATTCAATGTGACCACAGTTAAACTAGATGGAACTAATTATCTTGCATGGTCACAATTGATAAAGATTTATATATGTAGTAGAGGAAAGTGGGRGTTTATTTCCGGGAGCAAGAAGGCTCCCCCAGAAGATGATCCATCATACGAGAAGTGGATGCAAGAAAATTACACTGTCATTGGGTGGCTACAAATATTTTATATTGTTTATTGATGACTTTTCTCAGTTCACTTGGCTATTCCTGATGAAATCCCGTGATGAAGTTCCAAGACTTGTAAGACAATTCTATGAATTTGTTCTAACCCAATTTGATACCAGGATTAAAATTTTCAGATCTAACAATGCAAAAAAATATTTTGAGAAGAACCTATCCTGCTATCTCTCTGACGTGGGGGTTATTCATCAAAGCTCTTGTGTTAGGACCCCAGAACAGAATGGAGTTGCTGAGAGGAAAAATAGGCATATTGTTGAAGCTGCAAGAAGTATCTTATTTGCCTCACATGTTCCTACAAGGTTTTGGGGTGATGCCGTTCTCTCAGCCACCTACCTTATAAACCGTATGCCATCCAGGGTTTTAGGGTTAAAGTCTCCCTTCAATCTCCTTCATCCGGACAAGGATCTTTTTCCTATTCCTCTTCGTGTCTTTGGCAGCACCTGTTATGTACATGTTCCAAGTGTCCAAAGGCATAAATTTGAACCCAAAGCCCACAAGTGTATCTTCCT